CATGTCCCAGTCCAAAGACTTAGTGCCCGGTCCAAGCACTAAGTGTCTCTTCCTCTGGAGAAAGCAGCTACCACCCTGGAGCCTCCATTTGACAAATGGTGCTGAGGACTTTGCCCATGCTCTTCCAACAGCAGGGCTTAGACACTGGCAGAAGATCTAGAAAACAGGCTACCCCAGAAATAACTTCCTCCTATGACTACAGTGTGACATGGATTAAGTTGACAATTGCTGGTCTGGGCTCAAGGGGAGATGAAGGGCAAGCTCAGCTGTAGAGCCAAAATGGGGAACTGGTCCCTGCTCCAGGCTTTCTACCTGGTTCTAGAATCATCCCTCAACCAGTAGCTGCAAAGGCTTCACTGCAGATGCATTTGCCCAAATAGTAGAGGAGCAGGCTCCCAAAGCCTAGGCTCAAGGTTCTCCGGAGGAGGCCAGGATGCAGCTCAAAGGGTTGAAAATGAAGGCCACAATCCCAGCAGGCTTTCTAGAAGCACACGTAACCCGACACCCCTATCTCTGTTACTCTTCATACACAGAGAGCCACGGAACTTCAAATAGCACACCTCTATGCTCTGAGGCTAGGATGCCCTGATGTGCCCTTGGTAGGCAGACAATGGAGGTGAGCACAAGTGGTGAAGCCCACAGGCTCCTTCTTCTCTCCCCCTCAAACCCTGCCTGGCCAGGTAACCCCTTGGTCCCTCTGTTTCAAGTGTTCACCAGACACTGCCCCACCCAATGCCCTCCTATGAAAAAACAAAGGTTCAGCTGTTTTGGGACAAGCCTAGCATAACACTCAGTGCCTTCATACTCCTAGAGCCCCAGGATTTCATTTGGCTGCTTTGACAAAAAAAAAATGTTTTACACATGTTACTTTTCCCTCGGACCAGACACACAAAGGCTCGTGTTAAACCTGGCTCTAAGACCTGCACATTTTCATGAGCTCCAGCCCCAACCCTGTAGAAGCCAATGGTCTGTGGCCACAGGAAGATGTCAGCCCTTGGTCAGTGGTTGTCTCAGCCCAATGTCAGCCCCTTTCCTCACCAATCAGATGACTTCAGAGGCAGGATCAGCACCCGTTGTTCTGTCTGTGAAGCCTCCAACCAGAGATGAGCCCCTGGGGACTCATTAGCACCTGAAGCCAGCAGAGACCACCTGGCACTCCTGTCTCTGGGTTAGTAGGGTCTTTTAACTCCCACACAGCTAGCAGCCTCCCAGTCAGAAAGCTGCCCCATCTTTCCCGATGCCAGCAGGGGAGGCTGGTAGTGATCCAGAAGAACTCATGTCCACTGTGGAAGCAAGTCCAAGACCTTGGTCCAGGATGGCACCTGTCCACTGGAGAAGCTGTCCTGCCTGCTGTCTGGATGGCTGACCCTCTCACTGTGGGTCCTGCACACCTTAGGCTGCCAGCAGATGAAGACTGGATGCTGAGCTTCCCAGCTGTGGAAGCTGCTTGTCTGCCCAGATCCAGAAGGCAGCCCCTCCCAAGCTCCCTAAGGAGCCCTCCCTTACATGGAGCATGTATCACTCAGGGCTTTGTATCTGGGGACTAAAAGCCACCAGCTCACTGCCCTCATGTTCCTGCCTTCCAGCTTTGGTCACGTCCCAGCCAGCCTACCTGGCCAAGGGCAAGCTAGCGAGAAACCTGGGAGAGAGAAGAGGTACCTGGAGGGCTAGGGGGGAAATCCATTTCTTCTCTTCCAGGGATCCCTGGACTTGGCCTCCAAGAAAGGTCAGGCTTGGGGAAAGGAAAGTAGGCAATAACCCTTGGATGGCAAGTCATTGGCTCCTTTTGCAGAAGCTAGGATGTTAGGCTGCTCCCAGGTACAACACAGCCCTCCTCCCTATACCCTCATCTCCTGCACCCACATGGCCACCTTCTTCTGCCTGCCTCCCTCCAGCTGCAGGAAGCCAACTGGAGATAATATACCTGGAATATTGAATTTTAGCACCTGCTGGGGCTAACAGGGGTCTGTGGCCTTCCCATCAGAGTGGCATGACCAGAGGTTACAGCTTTTCCCGCCTGCACACGCAACTTGGGGGATTGTCCGCTCTCTCAGAATACTGTGTGAGGCAGCTTTTGTGAGGCTTTGTGCACAAATCCCAGGCACATAAAGGTGCATATATTTGCATGTGAGAGCAAGAATTTGCAAGGATGCACACCAAGCCAACCATGGGAGTTAGGCCTGTGGTGGCTTGACATTGGAGGCAAGGGGCTTTGTTAGCTACACCTGTAATGTTTGCATTTTTTAGGAGGATATCACAAAGTAGAATTTGTGTGATCCAATATTTTTAAATTGCAGTGTGCTGGCACATAGTACATGCAAAAGAGAAAGTAGTAGTCAGAATTGACTGACATTTCTGCAGGAGGCTTTTCCACAGAGGGCATGCCCTAAAGGCCAGACTTCTATGACCAAAGCAAAACCAGTCCTTCCTTCAGGAGGCAATTGGGTCAGAATTGCTCTTTGGAGGCTCTGGTCAGAGGCCTTATGGCCAGCCATTTACTTCTGTTGGGTGCCATGGATGTGGAAAGCAAGGGAAGCTAGCCCCTGCTTTCAAGCAGCTCCTGATCTAGTGGGGTGGGGGACTGACAGTATACCCCTCTTATACCAAGCCTGGGCAACCCATGGGAAATTTCACAGAAGAGCAATAAACATGATCCAGAAGAACCCTCTCCATACCCTCAACTGTAAATGAGCACCGCCCTTCCCTCTACTTGTTAATGGGGAAGTTCTAGGCTTATCGGGAAAGGGCTGGCTTTATGCTGGAGAGCCTGGGGAAGGCCAAGGCAGCTTGACAGGGAAATAACATTAATGATGAAGACATTCCAGACAGATAATATCCAAAGAGCCAGGAAGGAGGTGCCAGCCACCACAATACAGCCCCTCACAGAACCCTGCAGAGGGGTCTACTGCCTATCTCCCAGGCTGCGATGGAGGCCAGCATGAGGCAGCTCTGGCTCTGATTTTCCTCTAGAATACCCTAGAGATGGAGCGGACAGGTAGGGTTAGGAACAGCCAGTTACACCTCAAGGTGGATGGAAGGATAGCTCCCCCAGCCCACAAGGCATTTCTCCAAGGGGCTGCCACACTGTTTGCATCTCAGGTAAATTGCTCCCAAGGGTGAATCTTTGTTTCACAACATATTTCCAACCAGACTTTTCCTGCAAACATGTTCATGTCTGGTCACACAAATGCACACCCACATCTCAAAGGCAGGCCTTGCCCCACCCCACAATAGGTGCCTCTTCCTCTTAGCTTTCTTGTGTATTCTAGCTGGAGCAGAAGAAAGGGGAAGCTTGAGGAGGACCACTCAAGGGCAGGCTTTGTGGCATCTTTAGCTTCAGCCAACTCCACTCTGCTTGGCTTACCTTCCATGTCATCAAAAACAGTGGGGGTTTGGGTCTAGTGGTGGGAAGCTATGCATGCTGCCTTTCACTAAACCTGAACAATGGGCTGCTCCCCTTAATTAGTTCCCACACCTTGGGTCTGTCCTGAGGCTGTGAGGAGTATATGTGTGGCTAGCAAAGAGGAACCCCAGTTTTCCTCCTAGCTCTCTGGTGATTCCAGGGGCTCCAGGGCCCATTTGGAAGAGGCAAGGAGGCTGCAGGTTCATGTCAGTCCTCTTGGTTCTTAGAAGTATTGAAAGCCCCAAAGAGTAAGGAGTGGAGGAACCCCCTTATTGCATGGGAGCTATGGAGGACCAGACAGGGGTGGGAAAGGGGTACAGCAGGCTCAAAGACTCAAGTCTCTCCCCTCTGCCTCCCTTTACCCTCCTGCCCTCACTTTTTCTCCCTCCCCTACCCCCTCTTTCCCTCTCTGTCAAAAACACAAACATGCAATCATGATTATTTTATTTTTCCTGACTAACACATTCTCTCTTCTTTATTATGGAGAACTCACGACATATTTGGGAAGTTAGGAATGGTCTGGTTAGCCACTAAAGCCAATGAGAATGTTCTGGGTCCCTGCTCCCAAGAGTCATCTATTTATCTCTTTGTCCCAGGGCAAGAGACAACCAGTCTTCTGAAGGACTCCTACAACCTGGCACATCTGCCCTGTGGTTGGGCCCCAAGAAGTGACACTCTGTCTGAGTCCCACTGCCCTATCCAGCAATCCACCCTGTCTGAGGTGAGCATCACAGGGCTGTGGACATGAGTGAATGAAGTTCAAAGTCCCTCTATGTGGCCTCCCATCCATCCTCCAGAGATGAGTAGGGGCCTCATCCTCAGCAAGTCTATAGTAGGGACTCAGGAGAACACATCCTAGACCCAGCCTTGTCCTAATCTTGCTGGACAATCCTGGGGCAATGTTCCCCTTCTCTGGAACTCAATTTTCTCTTGGACAAGTGAAAAGTTTTCTGGTCTCTTCAAGGAGATTTCCTCTGATTGAGTCTGCAATACCTGGCCTAGACAAACTGCTGCAGAAGCATGTCCCCACAGGCACTTGCTGGCCTGAGCCCAACAGGAAGAACCTTCAAACTTTGCTTTTAAGGAGACACCTGCCTGGGGTGGCAGACAGTAGCATGGAGAAAGGAGAGGGAATCAGAGCCCCACATGAGTCATGGATTCAAGAAGCTCAGCTGCCAGGGTTTTCTGCTATCACAAAACTTTTATTGAGCATTTTCTCTGTGCAGAGCCCTGTGCACAACATGGAAGAAAACAGGAAGACACAGCCAAGACCCTGCCATATAGGATGGAACAGAAGAGATGAGATGGTCACCATGGAGTCCTGATGGACAGGCAGGAAGTACTTGCCACTGATGTTACTGTGAGGACCATATGCCCCTCTCCTCAACCTCCAAAGGGCTGCATCTCATCCCATTCAGATCTTCCTGCACATCCCAGCGTCTAAGGCCTTCCACAGCAGGGTATCCAACCAGAGTTGGAAAATGGCCCTGTAGCTGCTGGTTGCTTCTGGGAGACAGAAGGAGGAAGAGCAAGGGTGGTCCAAGGAAAGAAAAGAAGAGGAGGAAAGAGCTCTTTCAGCAGGATGGCAGGTGACACATCACTGACACATCCACAGCCACAGGTTGGCAATGCAAGCCAACAATAGCATGGTGAGGAACACAGCTTCCCTCTGGTGACTGATGGCTGCCTGGTCCTCCAGGGCACACAGACGCCCATCGATCTCCCACAGCTGCAGAAAGACCAAGAGCAGGCTGGTGAGCAAGGCTGTCTGTGGAAGCCCACAGTCCACCATTGAGAAAAAGCATGAAGTTAGAACAGGAAGGGGCTTTGCTGCTTTTTGGGAGGCCAAAGTGCCTCTGGGTAAGAAGAAGCTGAGACTAGAGGCTTGGAGTGTGCTGGACTGCCTGTGTGGGCAGGCCTAGCTGCCTTGCACCCTCCACTAAGTACATCAGGTTGTCTGTATGAAGCCAGCCTTTCCCAGCTGTGAAGTGGGAAGGGAATTTTAATCCTGGGGAGGGCTTGCATAAAGGAACCATCTGCAAAGGGGGCCACCAGGACAATAGCTCTGCATGCCCACGTCCATACTCATGGTTGCTCTGCCCACCCAAGAGGACCCCTCTATCAGACCTCAGAGCCACTCTGTCTGCATAGATGCCTCCATCCTCTTATATTTCCTTTTAGTTGTCCTTTTCTCTTCCCCTATTTCCTCCCCATATTTCAAGAGAGAGGCAGCCCTAAGGCTGAACAGCAAGACGGGACTCCACAGACATGGGGATTGAGAGGTAGGGGTGGGGAGCCTGACCCCACTATAGATGCTCAAGGATAAGATGAGTGGACTGATTGTAGAACTTCAAAGAGGATAAATTTAGCACTGTTGTGGCCCATCTGCCCCCAAAACACCATGATTCTGCCTCTACCCTCCAAGTGAGTCCTCAGCATAGCAGACGCTCACCTGTCTTCTCATGACTTCCATTTCTAGTCCATTTGGTTCTTCTGGGCCAATCTCTGCAATTATATCTGCTTCTGAGTTGCTGGGAAGTCAGAAAAGACAGTGAGTCACAGTTGCTCGTTGTCCCAGGCCAGACATGGCAGGAAGCACAGGAAGGCCATAAGGGCAAATGTGTAAGATCAGGGGCCTCTCTGGACAGTGACTCTGTCAGCCTCCAGCCCTTCCCTACCTTGTGAAGTGGGTCCTGGGAGCCAGCCCAGCCCAGCTGCAGAAAACTGGGAGAACTAAAATGGGCAAGGGGCCAGGAGGGGCAGGGGCTGAAGAAAGGAGGCAACAGGTCCCCAATAATCATGGCCAGCTGCTCACAAGTCCTTTCTGGTCAATCTGCTTACCAGACCCTCTGGCCCACCCTGATCCTTGGCCATAAAGCTCCTTTCCTCTTACAGGGTTTCTACAACCCATCTTACCACTCATAATGGAATCTCATGCCTTGGAAGCCACCAGGATACTCCTGGGGATGAACATCCCCATGAACTGGTTCTCTTGACATTCTGGGTATTGGCAGCTGAGTACCCTAAGTAAAGGAATGGTCCAAGTAACTTTCTCATCCCTAGCTGACAAATTTGGCTGCCCCACACTTGGCCCAGGACTAGTGGTACACCTCTCCCCAAGAGTCATGTGGTGTCTGATCCTCCAGAATCAGGCTGGAAGCTTCAGACATTAGGGGAGCCTGGGAACCTCACAAGTTGTCTGCCTGCCACTACCCCACCCACACCATGATCCTTGTCTAGGCTGTGTCAAGGGAAAAGCAGTGATAGGGGTCCCTATCCTGTGCCAGCAGTGTCACATGCAGACATCAGCTGACTCTCTGCAACCACTGATGAAGAATGGAAAACCTCAGTTTTAGAGCCAAAGAAATTAACTCCTGGAGAGCTGACTATACTTCCCAAGGATACATGGTAAGTGTCAGAATTCAGGATAGAAGCCTAACTACTAGGAAAGCACAGCCTCTTTGTCCTTCTCTGGATGGGCCCAGCCATCCCCATGTCTTTCATTTCTCTCTGTCTGCTAATGACTCTCTGCAGTGGATGTTTCTGGCCCAGAGCTCTGGGATCAGAGGTATTTTGTGAATTAAAGAGTCCATGTGAGCTAGAAGAGCAGAACATGACTGACCCACCTGGGTTCAAATCTCAGCTCTGGGTTTCCAGTGCAAGATGAAATATTTCATAAGATTCTTGTTCAACACACACTTATGACATGCCAGGGACTATGCCATCCTCTGAGCCCTTACCAATATCAAGTCATTAAATCCTAATCATGACCCTTTGACACAGGTATTATTATCACCTCATTTTGAAAGATTGGAAAACTGAGACACAGAGAGACCAAATAACTTGTCTATGTCATGTAATTAGTAAGAAGCAAAGCAGTATTTTGAATCCAGGACATTTTGTTTCAGAGGTTGTACTCTTAACTATTATACTGTGATAACCTTCACACTTGACACTGCTTCCCCTTAAGACTCCATTAAGAAAAGAGTAAAGACAGTAAAATGATATAAGCCCATAAGAAGGAAGATAATGGTAGAGGCAACAGAGAATGAAAGAGCTCAGCAAGACTGTAGAGTTCAGGAAGTGCTAATAAAGAAGGCAAAGGTGAATGAAGTAAGCCTCAGTGTGGCTCAGAAGCAGATGGAGAGCAGCTGAGGAGGGCCCCACCTGGCAGTGCCCTGGTTGTAATTTTGCACTATTACAACAAATAATGAAAAATTAACCTTTCTCAAAAGTGCACACAGATACTGGTGTGAACTTCTTTTTTCTTTTCTTTCCTTTTTCTCTCTCTCTCTCTTTTTTTTTTTTTGGTGAACAGTACCTCATAATCACACTATTTTATTTTCTTCCACTTCTTAAGAAACCTCAAAAAATAGCATCAAAGGAACAGAGGGTGTCAAGAAGACCCCAGGACTATAAAGGGTAAAATTGATGGACAATATCTCCTAGAACAATTTCTACACCATCCCCTTGATTTTCATAAAGATTGGCATTAGAAGGACAGAAAGTTTTTTTGAGAGATTTGAAGGCAAATAAGGGTGAGTGACTGGTGGCTGGAGTTTGTTTTGTTTTAACATCAATGTAATAAGAAATAATCTAACAACATCTACAATTCAATGATAACTTATTGTCATTACCTATCATAATATAGGTCTAATTTCAAAAACAATTGTCTTTATTTTTTTGGTTTTTAATTTTAGAAACCCTCTATTTAGAATTATATACATTATAAAGCATAAGAGCTTTATATTAGAAAAATTGACAAAGTGCAGGTAGTCCCAGCAGGAAGGGAAGGAGAAAGAGAGGGAGAGAAATGTCAATGTGTGGTTGCTTCTCACACACCCCCTACTAGAGACCTGTCCTGCAACCCAGGCATGTGTCCTGACTTGGAATCAAACCAGCGACCCTCTGGTTTGCAGGCCAATGCTCAGTCCACTGAGCCACATCAGCCAGGGCCCTGCTGTTAAGTAATTTTAAAAGTGTTATTTTTATTTTCATGTACTGTTTAAGGCATATTACATATTTCTCCCAAATCAGCAGAATAGTATCATTATATGTTTGTCCTTTCATGTTGTGGTTCTCCAGAGGCAGTAACAGTTCCATTTTTTACTCCAAAATAATGGATAAATAAATAGAATTAATAAATTTCTTAATTCTAAATGTCTAAATTGATTTCTAAGGTTCATATAATAACTCTATTTTTTAAAGTGTAATTCTTTGTTCATAACAGGTAATGTTAATTAATCCAGAGGTTGAACCACTCCCACCACTCACTCAGTTTTAGGGGCTTCAATGGCTTGCTGGATGGAGCCTGACCTGTTGGAGGAGCTTAATTTGGACTTCAGCATTCGGACACAGGATGCCCATTCAATATTTCTGGCTTATTCTCATTCCCAGGAAGTCTCTGACCCAAGAACCCTGGAATCATTTCAGCATTTATCTTAATCCATTCCCTAGAAGTCAGGTCTTCTTGGTCTCCAACCTTGTTGCCTCTCCACAGTAACCTTTGCAACAATATGACAACCATTTCTCTAACTTTCTCTCACCCACAAATATAGCTAACAAAATTGGCTACAGAAGTATTGGGCTCAAGTGATTCCCTACAACAAACAGGTCTTTCTCCACTCCAAATCAGCAGCCTTTTCCCAGCATCTTTTCCACAATATGGCCACCATCTTTTTTCTCGAATACTCCCTCACCATTGTGAATGTAGCTTAAAGGATTGGCTACAAAACTGTAAGATTCCATTGACTGAACTTCCTAACACCCAGGAAGTATAGGAACCCCACTTGCCTTATCATTGCTCCAGCCCTGATATATATTTTTATTTAAATACACTTGTGTTTTGAAATATGTATATTTATATGTAGAAATATATTTATATATAAAATAAAATATAAATATTGAGATATAGCTATATGTATATATATACACATATATATGGAGAGCAATATGTACTTATTTATTTTTAATAAAAAAAAGAGAAGCGTCATTTCACACACACTACAGTTTTACAGAATAAAGTATATATGTACTCCCCAAGGAATACGTGCTTCAGTCATTCTGGACTCTCAAGGTTAAACTCTCAGTCTACCAAAGCATGGCTCTGACCTCTTGCTGGACACCTCTGCCCTCATTTTCCTGCTTCCTCCTCCCTGCAAGTCAATATTTCACTATCATCAGGTTGGAGCCACTATAGCCAGTACCCCCAACCCAGCCACCATGTGCCAAGGGCCCCATAAAATATCACCTTCTTGGGTCAAGTGGCAGTCATATTCCAAACTGGTTGGCCTGCAGCAGAGCCAGCAGCTTTTGAACCCAACTTTTGTCGCCACAGAGAGACACCCAGGGACTGGAATCCATGCTCTATTATTTCTGGGGAGAAGAACAAAGACCCCAGGAACAACTCTAAAGGCTTTAACAAGGCTTCTGGGGCACAGGACACATCAGAAAGAGATTGGGTCCCCAAACTTCTTACAAATAACTCAATACCTATTCACTGCTGTTAACTGCTATCAATCCCAGGCCTCAGTTTGTCCTTATGTTCAAAAGATTAGCAAGTGTTAAATGAGGGCCAAACTCTGTGCTAAGTTACTGGGAACAGAGCAATGACCAATAGATAAAATTGCAGCAATCAAGAAACTGAGTGGGTGTGTAAAAGGGAAAAACAGAAAACAATCCATCACTGTAAATTCAAATCAAGAGACACATTTCCAAAATGATAAACACAGGGCAACATGATGGAAGGAAGGGGCCACTTCTAGAAAAGTCAGAAACAACATTGAGGTAGAGACCTGAACAAGTAAAATAGTCCAGCCATGGAAAATCTAGGGAAATGGCATTCCTGGCAGAGGGAACAGCTTGCACAAGGGCTGTGAGGAAGAGCCAGTCTTGGAGTGTTATAAGGACAAACATAAATTCAGCATGGAATATGGGTCACCATGTCACAACATGAAATACATTAAGGAGGAGACCTTGATCAGATCATGTAGACATGATGAGAGTTTAGATTTCACTCTAAAGGGCAGGAGAAGATGTTGGAGGGTTAAAAGAGAGAATTGACCTGATTGATCTTATAAATTGAGCCCTCTGAATGTTTTGCAATATACACACTGGTGACTTGGATGAAGGGGAGACCAAAAGACCACGCATGTTGGTCTCACCCTTTCCCTCATGGGCTACAAAATGTTCACATCAATCCCTTTCACCTGAGCTCCCTGTCACTCAAGCTACAAACACATGTGTTTGAGCACAAAGGCCCAAACAGTCACATGTAACCCATATATGCATTCAAATACATACGCACATATATATGAGTGTCAGTCCACCCTCTCACACACTTTCTCCAACACATGTGCACAGATGCACACACTCAAGGAAAGTGACATTTCAGGGGATCCTCACCTGCTATCACCAGGTGCTCTTGACTTTGCCCATGGCTTCCAGGAATCAGGTCTTCAGGCATGGACATTTCTATCTCCTCCTTGGTGCCAGGGAAGACTCCTGCCATCACAACCAGTTGTTCACTTGTAAGTTGTGGCCAAGGATGCACAGGAAGCAAAGCAGAGAGGAAAGCACTCAGAAAATCAGTCCTTTGAGAGGTCAGAACTCAGGGTTAATATACTCTGCCACAAGGGTGGAGCCAGACTCCCATTTGGGCTTATGCCTTGGACCAGCACCTTCTGTTCCTGCTGTATCTTGTTGGCAAGGTTTGCTGCCTTCTCCTCTGCTACTCTGTAAGCAACATAGGAAAAGAGATAAGGCTCAGAACCATTGCCTGTGAGAACTCTGGCTACCAGATCATCTGAATTGGCCCCATTGGGGTGCAGGTGGGCCCACCCTCCATCATTTCTAGAGAGAGACAGGGACTAACACAGGACCCCAGAGTCAGTCAGTGGCCAGAGCAGAGAGATCCCAGGCCTGCTGTGGCTCCTGCAAGCCCAGCTCTGGATAGAAGTATCCTCCAAATGCATCCTTTGCAAAGTATGTCTTGCCTCCTCCATTCCAGAGTTCCCAGACAGAAGAGGTGGCCTTTAGATGCCCTGAGTCAGCCTGTGAAGGAACAATGAGAACCAAAGGAAGGAAAAGTAGGAAAGGAGGGGTCTGCCTATCAACACTGAACTTCTAAGGTCCCCAGGCCCTGCACCCTCTGATCTAAGTCTAAGTTCTTCCTGAGCTTGCCCACTGATTAGACCACTCTGGGATTTATGTGACCACTTGACAAGCCTACAGTTCCCAGTCATTCCATCAGACACTAGTCTGGATGTTGTTGTAAAGGTATTTTGTACCTGTGGTCAGTATTTACAATCAGTGAACTTTAAGTAAAGACTACTAGCCCTCGATAATGTGGGTGGGCCTCAATCAATCAGTTGGCAGACCCTAAGAGCAAACATTGAGGTTACACAGACAAGAAATTCTATCTCAAGACTGCAGCATCAATCCCTGCTTAAAATTGCAGACTGCTGGCCTGCCCCACAAAATTTGACTTTGCCTAGCTGCACAATGGCATGAGCCAATTCCTTAAAGTAAATCTGTATACATACACATATGCTTGTATATCCATCCATCTTATTGGTTCCTTTTCTCCGAAGAACCTTGGCTGATATGACCACCAAAGGTTGTATGGACCAACCCTTGGAAACTCTCAGCTCTTAGGAACAGCCCCAGAGCCCCTAGGGGAAGAGGAGGCTTTTTGTAATAGGAACCAAGCACAGGTGGGGGGAGGTGGGAGGAAAAGAAGTAGAGGGCAGAGAAGAATGAAAGGAGGAAGGAAAAGGCAAAAGAGAAGAAAAGGAGGGGACAGGACTTCTTTAGAGAAGGTGGTGTAATATTCGTTGCCTGTCTCCCTCCCTGGCCCCACTTGTCCAGCTCTGGGACCAAGCTCTCTGGAGCAGAGCTGACACAGGCCCTGACTGCATTGCTGAGGGCCCCTGAAGAAGCCCTTCCCAGCTGCAGCAGAGCCATGAAATCTGAGCTTTCTGGAGGGTACTTTAGAGGCAAAGAAGTGTGCTCTGTGAGACTCAGGAGCCTGAGAAGCAGAAGTCAGTGGTTTCTGCCAGACCAGGGTTACCACACTGATGAAATAAAAGTACAGGATGCCAATTAAAGTTTTCAAATAAACAAAAAATAATTTCAAATATTTTTTAGTGTAAGTATGCTCCATGCAACATTTGGGACACACCTGCACTAAAAATTATTCATGGTTTACCTGACATTCATATTAAACTGGGTATCTTATATTTCATCTAGCAACCCTATGCCCTGCTCATCCTCACAATGATCTCTATTTAACCTTTCCTTTCTTGGGGCCTCAGTCTCCCCATTGGATGATAGAGATAACAGTACTTTCCCTATAGGGTAGCTGGATTGGAAGAGCACTCAATCAGCATAGTCAAAATAGTGCAGACAGGCATAGGCAGGGCTTTGCATTATTAACCTCAGAGCAGTTATCCTCTGACTGACAACTGGCCTTGACCATTTGGGGGTTCCTGGGCACTGGTGCACTAGGCCAGGTGCATTCAGAGGCACTGCCCCCTGGTGGCAAAGGAACTTACTACCTAAAGCCAAGCAAAATGGATGGAGAGACTTCCCCATCAATCTCCCAACACCATGCAGAAATCCTGGCATTTCATCTTGGGAACCAAAGATGGTTGGGTGATGGGTAACAAAATTTGCATGCTGTTTCTTTCTCAGTCCTTTGTGGGGAAGATTTTGGTTGGAGAAGATCATGGACATAAGAGGTGAACTGCCGCAGATTAGCTGCCTAGATATTGCAGAGGATATGTGGCTTCTTTAAGGGTAGGCAGAGGAAGGAGTTTGGATTTGTCCCTTAATATGTCTCTCTAGCATGCTAAACTTTTCTCTCCATCATAATTTTCTCCTGAAATATCCCCCAAATTCTCATTCCAAACACTTTGAAAATCCCTCACTGTCTGACATGTCGGCCTCAGGGACATGAAGGACTAAAGCATCCCTGGGTACAGAAAGATTTTCCAAGCTTTATGGGAGCCAAGAAGATGACTCATGGCCAAGTGTAAATTATGGGCTGCAGCCTAGACCCCAGTGGAAGGCTCCCAAAGGAGAAGGCCATGAGACCCAAAATTCTTCCCTCAGGAGATTAGACAGATACTTCTGGGAAGGGGAGGGAGGAGCCTAGAGAACATCTGGCTTAGATATATGTGTATATGTTTGCAGTATTTTACACAAATGAGATCACATATTTGAGATATCTTCTGTTCTACAACTTACTTTTTAAAGTGAACTGTGTGCCCTGGGGGATCTCCCATGTCAGAACAAATGTAGCTCAATCTTTTAAACATAGCACAGTATTTTGCCATGTTTATTGACCTGCTCATGGACATTTTGGGTGTCTAGGGCTTTTAACTTTTATTTTGAACAATGTTGCAGTGATCATTACTTGGCCATGCTTCAACACACATGGGTAAATGTTTTTGTAGAACAGGTGTCTAGAAGAGGTATTGTGGGGTCCTAGAATATGTGTTTTGACAATTTTGACTGATATTATCAATGTCTCCTCTGAAGAGACTTCACCAAGTGGGACCTCACCAAGGGGAAGAAAGTGCTAGTTTCTTTACAACCTTATCAAGATACTGTATTATGAAACTTTCTAAAAGGCATCATTATGATGGGTGAAAAATGATATCTATTACATTGTTGCCTTAATTTTATTGCTTTAATTATGAATAAACCTGAACAATTTTTCATATGTTTATTGATCTTCTTTGTTCCTTTCCTGTGAACTGTGTACTAAAGAGCTTGGATCTTTCTTAAAATAAGAGCTGTTTTATTAACAGGAAAGGATGGAGGGCAAAGGCTCTCCCCCTCTTCAAGTTAGGTATCTCCAAAGAAAACATGTCATCATTTTCCCTGGAGGTAATAGTGAACACAGAGCCTCCACTGAGAACCAAACAAACACAGTTAATTGCATCCAATTTTGTGTTTAAATCTAGAAAGTATCCAGTCCCCCACAGAGAAGGTGCAAAGCACAGGCAGATGTTACTTTCCTATCTGCCTGTCTGCCCTTGTCTTTAGTCTGTCTCTCTGTCTGCCACACAATGTGCCGCCACCAATGCCTTCCCACCACTGGCCTCTTCCAGCTATTTAATCAGCTGTGCACTTTACTCAGATTCCTGACCAGCTTGAGGTCTGGTGGCAGTGTGCTACCTACTCCCACCTCCCTTACAAGCAGCAGTGGGAGGTGGCAGGGACCCAGGCCCAGGGTTAGTACATGTGGGAGTGAGTTCTAGCTTTTACACCATGTCATCTTAGGCAAGTTGCTTTGCTTACTCTGAGCCTCAGATCCCCATCTTCACATGGGAGATCGGGCTAAAATCCTGTTTCAAATTCCGTTTCTTGGTTTCAGGAAGATATGTTGGAGCTTCCTGGACTTCAGGGAAGATTCTAGCCTCTTTTCTCCCAGACCAGTCCTGCCTTTCTAACTTTCTAATATTGGCATTCCTTATAAAAGGGCATTCAAAGTCAATGGGTATGGAAATAAGTAGATAAAAAAATTGGGATACATATATGCAATGAAATAATACTTGGCCATAAAAAAGAATAAAATCTTGCTATTTGTGATAGCATGGATGGACATAGAAGGTATTATACTAAGTGAAATAAGTCAGTTAGAGAAAGACAAATACCACATGATTTCACTTATATGTGCAACCCAAAGAACAAAATAAATGAACAAACAAAACAGAAATAGACTCATAGCAACAGAGAACAGACTGATGGTTGCCAGAGGGGAGGGGGGTTGGAGGGCTGGGTGAAGAAGGTGAAGGGATTAAGAAGTACATATTGGCAGGTACAGAATAGTCACAGGGATGTGAAGTACAGCATAGGGAATATAGTCAATAATATAATAACGTTGCATGTTGCCAGGTGGGTGCTGAAAATATGGGGGAAATACTTTGTAAAATATATGATTGCCTAACTACTATGCTGTACTCCTGAAATGAATACAAAATAATATTAAATGTAAATAAATAAATTTTAAAAAAACAGGAAACAATTATCACATGCAATACTATTGGACTATAGCTCTGTAAAACCTTTTAATTTCATTTTACCACACTTGAACTGCAGGTTATTAATAAACTGATTTTCAGGGAAGGAAGGAAGGAAGGAAAAATTAAAAAGTCAGTGGGCATGATTGCCTGCTGCCTTTTCTACTCAGAGCTCTATCTCAGGCAGCTACAATCCCAAGCCCAAGCAAGCCCGATTTTGGCTGCAAACTCAGATCTTCCAGACATCTGGGAGCTTCCTCTCCACTTGATAATAAAACTTATGAACTTGTAAACAACTTTCCTTCCTGCTCCTGGAAGCAGCTGGTACTGAGGTCATCTTTGGAGCCCCAGGCCCTCCCTCAGCTAGAGGGGAAGGGGAAGAGGGATTAGCAGAGCCTTGCAGCTGTCTTCCCTTTCCTTGAAGATACAGGAAGGACAGATCAAACTGCAGGGACTATAGCTGGCCCAGGAAAGGAGGGTC